TAACGTATTCAAACTTTTACAATAGTTCAAAAACTCTTCATCATCCACTTCTATGTGATCAAATTGACTTGTGGCGACCCTTCAAATTTGATCACCTCCATTTCCCTACACATTTAAAATAAAATTAAAAATTAAAACCAATTATGAACAAAAAATCAGATTGCAGAATAGGAGCATGTGGAGCCTGATCATAGACATATGATTTCGGATGAAAAATTTAAAATTAAAACCAATTATGAACAAAAAATCAGATTGCAGAATAGGAGCATGTGGAGCCTGATCATAGACATATGATTTCGGATGAATCTACAAAATTGGACAGCAAAGTGATCCGTGGAGCTGATGAAAAATTGGACAGCAAAGTAGTGAATGTAAGTCTTGAACAATTCTACAAACGAACAGATAACAGAAGCAGAAGATGAATGATTCATTTTCGAGTTATTCCGAAAGAGAGTCAATGACTACAAATCAGGATGCAAATAACCAAGAGATTGAAGCGCTAAGCTTTTAGCAGTTAAGCTAGTAGAAGAAGCAATCGAGAGAATTCTTCTTCCAGAAGTTCAAGATCACTCATATAATCAATCAGCAACAAGTAGTGAATGTAAGTCATGAACACTTCTACAAATGAACAGTTAACAGAAGCTGAAGATGAAGATGAAACTCCTCTCCTTATGTATTAAATTTTCTGCAAACGAACAAATAACAGAAGAAGAAGATGAAGACGAAATATACAGAAAACAGGTGAAAAAACAGAAGCACATCAGCATGTGGCATTTGATATCACAACATATTCTTTCAGATGTTGTATCAAAAATAGGGAATGAACAACTCAATGAGATAAATAACAACAAAACACTAGCTGAAACGAATACAGACAACTCTCCTTAAGATTTCTCGGAAGAAAAGGATGATATATATAAGCCACAATGGGAGAAGTTTAAGCACAAATGATGTTGTCAATCTCATAAGAGAAGCAGTTAGTCAGATCCTAACAACACCGACTCGAGATGATTCATCCAATACACAGAGTGTCACTAATGACATTGTTCAAGATGAAGAGCCACCAAAAACTGATCATACAGATGGCAGAGAGCAAAACAGTACAAATTCACTCTACGAAAGCTTGAGACATCGTGACAGTCAATTAGAAACAATGGATTTTGTTGCTAATTAATAATACTATCACCAAGAGTAAATTTGAGCCACCAAAGTCTAAGAACTGGAGCAAGCTGAAGAAATGGATCCTCCTTAAGAGATCAATAAAGGTATTGGAAAGAGCTCGAAAAGTCAATCCACAACCCTTCAACTTTTGCCCTGAACCAGCTCCCTATACTATTATCCAATCGTTTGATGTTCGACTAAGACAAAAATCAGGCTAAAAATGTTATACCTATTGGCCTTGCGACTCCTATTATCACTACCAAGCAAGGACTGCCGGCTGGAGCCACAACTACACACAAATCAGCAACCAATGGGAAGAAGAACTACAGGCAGAACCACCATAAATTCCAGATCAATCATGCCAAAACTAGATCTACTTTGAAAGATTCAAACATGAAGTTAAAAAGCTTGCAAATTAACTGCCTTAATAAGCCAACTACCACAAAGAAGACTTTCAGAGAAACTGAGAGGACTAATTAGCCAACTATCACAAATTTACAATCACATAGGATATAGTTCTTTCGTATACTAATTTTCTAACTTATTGCTCTAAAAAAGAACATTTGAAAAATACAAAATACCTTTTGAAGATCTGGATCATCAGTTGACCCGGAAGAATGTGGAAGATTTTGGCCTTTTACAGCTTGTGCACTACTCGCATCAACAGGTGAAGCAATGTTAGATCGAACACACCCTGGCATATCTCGAACATTCAATTCAGGGTTGTTTTGAAGAAATTGACTAAAGAAATGTCGCATTTCTTCTCTCATTTCATTCATTTCTTCTTTTAGAGAAGTGATTTCATTACCATGTTTCTGTTCTAGCTCGTTAGTTTCCTTATCTTTCTTTAAAGAACTTGTTGTCACTGATCTACCATAGCACCTAAAAGCATCATCTGTTGTTTCCCCGGAATTTTGGCGATTCTGAAGTTCAGCCTATTGAATAAAATTGACATCCATATTAAATGTAAGTACTTCTTTCTTTCCAGCGACTCAAGCATATTAAAATAAAAATATCACCCTCCTAGCAATATATAACTTTTAAACCTGAATTAAATTCATCACTAATCCACTTTAAGAAGCTTACTATTGCAACTTGAGTATCGGTGTGAAGATCCTTTCACGTCTTTGTACGAGCTGTAATAAACATTTCAGACTTTGATGGTTCCTCATTGTTTTCTTTGGTTGCACGCTACAAATTATATCAAAAGAGATTAAAAAACGTATCAATATGTTCTAAAGAAAGCTTAAGATATGGTAAGTTTGTCATCGAAAAAGACAAAGTGGATTGGTCTCATGAAATTCAATTTTTTGACGTAATGTCTACTAAGTATTACCAATGCCACGCGTACTCTTGTAAAATTAATAGGTCCCATTCGATGCCTCCACTTTTGCTTTTTACTGTTTCGAGAATTCATCTCACACATGGCCTATATTAAAATAAAAAAGATCTTTGAATTAATAAATAAAACAAAAAAAAAGAATAAATATGATGTAAAATAAGTTGAAGAGTAGAAATGCACGATTTTAGCCTTACTTGAACAGTTGGGTGTTTCCAATACTTGATCAATTGACGGAATTGTTCTTCTGGCATGTCATCAGGACGTTTTGCTAGCATATCCTCAACGGTACTATTTTTATCAAAATATCTCTCTTTAATTTTTTTGTTTGTATCGCCTCCAAGCATCACGAAGACTAGTCATCACCCACTTCTTTCCTTCTACTGGAATTAGGAATTTGGACTACGCAAAATAAAATATATTTAGCTTCAGTCAGTAAAAACAAACAATAAAATATGCAATCTCAAAATTGATTGTTCTTACATTGATATATTCCCACATGCGCTTTTTCTTATCTTTTGGCACCGCATGCCAACTAGTGTACATCAAGTTGATGAATCTAGAGTTCCTTGAAATTGTTCCTATAAAGTTGGTTAATTTTGACACTATCTTACCAGTTGGTCCCACTACTTGTCCTTTATCAAATGTCACCTTCTTTCTTTCTTCCAAATTTCTTGCGTGAATATCCTTACATGTTGTTTTTCCTCAAACTTTTTTCGGCTCCAATATTCCTATATTGATAGTAACAGTAAGGAAATAAGAAATTTCTTTTATATAAGTAATAAATCTTACAACTCTTGAGACATACCTTCTGTACCACAATCAATGCCAATTTCCTCGTCTATAGCACACTCATCCCCGCCGATTTCTTCTTGATCCACAAGATCATCAACTACTTTGTGTGTATCAGTTTTTGTTTCATCATCTATGTGCATTGCTTGTTTTTTTTTAAACAATCAAGACTAGTAGCTGTTATGACCGACTTCCTCTTTACATGCTTGCAGTTTGGTAGATCATGAATATCATGTTCTATTTGTAGCTGTTGTTCTTCCAGAAACTGATCAAGACTTGTGGCCGGTAGGACCGACTTTCTCTTCACCTGTTTGAAGTTTAGTAGATCTTGAATATCATGTTGTTCCTCTGCATTACCAAGTGTTTCCCTAGTCACATGTACTGAAGCAGTAACACCTTTCTTGGAAGACGTTTGGAACCTAAAGTTGTGCATAGGAAGTTTAGTTCCTTTCCCTTGAATGGACTCTCCGGATTGGAATAAGCTCTTTTTAGTTTGTCCTTTCCCAACAACCATATGTGAGGTACCAAGCTCTTCCCTCGAAGACGAATGAATTACTGATTTGTACTCAAGCAATTTACTCTTTCCTTGTTGTGGAATGAAATACTCAGAATTCTTTCTTTTATGTGCTATTGGTGCATGCTCTTTCTTAGCTTTATCATTGCGTTCGTTAGCAAGTTGTTCTCTCTTAATCTTGAATTGGTTAGCCAATTCAGTACTTGATCGGTATTGCATATCAAAGTTCAGATTCTTCAGTGGACTTTGAGCTTTGTTCGGATTCGAACCCTTTTTCTTTAGTGCTGCTGATTGACTCATTCTTCCCGCTTTCTTTTAATCTCTTTTTTTTCTTTCCCTACAGTAAGTTAACCTACAAAACAATAATCAGGTGATTGTTAAATAGAAAAAGCAAACCTGCAAAGAGAAGAGGTTCTAGCTTCATAATCATATACGTTCTAGGATTGTTAGATAGAAAAAGCTACAGAAATATAACTTTAAAAGATTTAAATGTGTTGCCTTCATTGTGATAATGAGAATGAGTAGTGAACTAATCATTAGCTTCCAGAAAGATAAGGGAGTACTACACAAAGAGGAGTGATTTCACTGTGCTACCTTCACTGCCTTCACTGTGTTGCCTTCACTGCCTTCTCGATGTTTATCAACCTTCACATCATCCCAGCTAAATTATGTTGCAGCAAAAAAATTATACATTAGGAACACTACAAAATAGGACAAAAGTATAACAGCTTGATCCTACAGAAAAAAAAAAGAACCTCCTATGCCATCTATAGAAGAACTTCATTAAGCATGTCTGAATTAGAAAGCATCATAATTCAGAATTCTTATCTGAGAAAAGTAAGTATAATCATTGACTCTAGGAACAACAAGAAAGATGACTAGATCTAGTATAGTCATGTTTGTTGAAGCACATGCATGATTCACCCTATACAAGCAGCAAATAGCACAAGTTACAAGTACCAACAACAACAACATACTTAGATATCATAAGGTGTTTGTACAAAAATAGTGAAATAACAAAAAGAGTGAGTTAGCACTATATGGTCATCGCAAAAATATTAAAACTCATGGTGTGTCATCTTCAAACTCATCTTCAGACTCATCGTCCGACTCATCTTCAGAATCGTCTTAATACTCATTTTCAGACCTGTCTTCACACTCTTCTTCAGACTCATTTTCAAACTCTTCTTCAGACTAATCTTCAAACTCTTTTTCATACTCAACCTCAAGTTGTTGAGTAACAAATTCCTCTGAAGGCACATTAATAACAGTTTCTGGTACATCAATCCTTACTAAGGTAACTTCACCATCATCTTCTGGTATGGATGGTCCCATCAAGTGTTCAGACAACTCATTTTCATAACTTTGTGGGAGATCAGATTCAAATTCATCACTCATGTCAAACAAGTCTCTCGGAACATTCTTCATAACATAATGTCTATCTTGATCATATGGATCTTGCACATAGAAGCATTGATGTACTTGAGATGCAAGCACAAAAGGCTCTTCCTGAGAGCATCTCTTGTTAAAATAGACATAAGTAAGGCCATAAATATCTTTTTCAACCTCATACCAATCGCACTTAAACAGAACAACCTTAAAATGACTAAAATAGTCTAACTCAACTATATCAACTATTCTACCATAATAAGTCAAATCTGCAGCAATCGGGTTCTTATCCTTTGAGCTTGCAAAGCTTGTAGTTGAGGCAACAACTGTAACACCACTATTTTGTGTTTTACGCCTTGCATCACGTTGCCTAATATGGAATCTATATCCATTAATGAGATACCCAGAGTATCTTTTAGCAACATAATTTGGTCCTCTACACAGTTCTTTTATCAAATCAGGCACATCCTCTTGCAAAGCATGAATTTCTAACCATTGAGAGAAGTTTTGACAATGATCCTTGGCCTTGCTCCATTTAGATCTTCGCGGATGATTATTAACCTCTTGCTCATGCTCTCTACACAATATGTACTTTTTTGTTAAAATGATAAATAAAATAAGTTAAAATTTATTATACAAAAGAAAATACTATATAAAATTAAAGTACCTAATATATTCTTTAATCTCATCACAATTTCCCAATAAGTATGCATGTGCCTGACTTAGTGACTTGTTATCTAAACTAACTGGATCAGTTTTCTTTGCTCCTAAAGGACATCCCTTTTTAGGAAACAAACTCACTGTTTCTGCATCACTTGGGTCACATTCATCATTATTTCGGGCTCTTCTGTTAAATCTGGTTTGTACTGCCCTATGCAGATATCTAGAAAAAAAATTCATACAGTCTATTCCCACACGCGCTTCTTCTATGCAATCTTCTGGATAACGTCTGTTGCGGATATATGATTTGAATGTACCCATTTCTCTTCCAGTGGAATACATCCATCGGTTCTGAACTGGACCGCCTAATCTCACTTCATTCACCAAATGAATAGGCAAATGAATCATTATATCAAAAAATGACGGAGGAAAAATTCGCTCCAACTGATTTATTGTTTCCCTGATCTCTACTTCTAAGCAATCTAGTTCCTCCAATATGATAAATTTTTTACACAAATGTTGGAAGAAGGAACATAGACGAATCAAAGGAATAGCCACATGATCTGGAAGGATGCTTTTAATTGGTATTGGAAGCAAGTAATGTAACATGGAATGAGCATCATGGGTCTTATAACCAGACAATTTTCTTTCATCCAATTGCACACACCTAGATATATTGGAGGAACTACCATCAGGTAGCTTGGATGTCTTTAAAACTCCACAAAAAACTGATTTCTCTCCATTTGTCATTGAGAAGCAAGCTTTTGCAAACTTTGTTCTCTTATTATCTCCAGTATCTTTTGGATGAAGATTCTTTCTAATTCCCATCTCTTTCAAATCATACCGGGCTTTTGCATGATCCTTAGTTTTGCCAGGAATATCCAAAAGAGTTCCAAGTATGCTATCAACTATTTTCTTCTCTATGTGCATTACATCAAGGTTGTGGCGTAACAAGTTGTGTTGCCAATAAGGTAATTCAAAAAAGATTGACCTTTTTTTCCATGGGCCATCATTTGATCTCTTTCTCTTCTTTCCAAACACATTTTCAAAATCTTGTAAGCTATTAAGCACATCGGTTCCCTTTAATAGAAGTGGAGGAGGCCTGAATTCAGTTTTTCCATTGAGAGATCTTTTGTTAGATCTCCATGGATGATCCATGGGTAGAAAAAAACGATGATCCATATAACACATTTCTCGAGTATGCTTAAGATAGTGAGAATTAGTGTTATAGTTACAACAAGGGCAAGCAAATTTTCCTTTTGTACTCCATCCAGACAACATAGCATATGCAGGAAAGTCATTGATTGTCCACATAAGAGCTGCTCGCATTTGAAAAGTTTGATTTCTTGAATCATCATATGTTTCAACCCCAGAATCCCACAACAATTTTAACTCATCTATCAATGGTTGTAAGTAAATATCAATGTCATTTCTAGGTGATCGTGGCCTAGGTATAAGTAAACAAAGTATAGAATATTCAGATTTCATGCACATCCAAGGCGGCAGATTATACGCCATCAACATAACTGGCCATGTGCTATGAGATATACTCATGGTTCGAAATAGATTGAACCCATCACTTGCTAATCCAAGTCTTACATTGCGAGAATCTTGTGCGAAAATTGGATGCAACCTATCAAAATCTTTCCATGCTTGACCATCAGCGGGATGCCTTAACTTTCTATCTTTAAAACGCTCCTCGTCATGCCACCTCAAAGAATCAGCCATCTTTGAGCACATAAATAACCTTATGAGTCTAGGAATTAATGGAAAGTGTCTCAAAGTCTTTGCTGAAACTCGATGTGATTTCTTAGAAGGCTCAACCTCACTATCAACTTCAGGATTTTTAATATATCGTGAAGCTCCGCAAGTATGAAAAAATTCATCATCCTTATGATCATTCCTAAACAAGATGCAATCATTTGGACATGCATCAATTTTCTCATAATCAAGACCGAGATTCTTAACCATAGACTTGGTCTTATTGTAAGACGGAGGAATGTTCAACTCGGGCATCGCCTCTTTTAATAACTCTAAAAGAGAAGTGAATGATTCATTGCTCCATCCATGTAGACACTTCAACAAATATAAGCGAAGTGTGAATGATAATTTAGAGAATCCTGTACAACCAGGATATAATTCTTGGCTTGCCTCTTCAA